AAAGGTGAACAAGTCACTACTCCACCTCATCAACAGAAGATGCATCCAAAGAAACAAAAACAGAGATTACATCATGCTGAAAATAAAAATACTGGTTATGATGGGACTATGCCATCCCAAGCAGTGCTGCCTCGTAGCGATGGCAGCATGTTTCAGCAGCTTGCAACTAAACAAGCATCACATAGTATGCAGTCTGCAGGACAGTCTAGTGGAGAGCTGCTACAACAACTGCAGATACCACAGCAGCAAGATATTGATCTGTTGCATCAATTGAAGTTAAAAACGCAGCCTGTTTCCATTCCTTCCAGACAGCAACCACAAATGATATCACCAGCTTCACAATCTGTTGTGCTTAGTTCTTCCACACATAATAATATTTCCATACCTATGCTTGGTATGCAGACTACAGTAACGCCCTCTGTGTTGACAAAGACTGGACAAACTGGCACCAGTACTACAGTGCAGCCCTTATCAATTGTAGCAAGTAATGCTTTAATCCAAGGTTTTACCACCAGGCAGAGCAGTGCCAATGTTGTAAATAAATCCAGAACCTCTACTTTGGTAAGTTGTTTTGAATTACTTATGGTCACCACTTCTTTTGCAACTGCATACAAAAATAATGGGATTACTGTGAAATATGAAATGTCACAAGTATGCTGCTTGAGGGCGCTGTACAGTTACTGGATCCATGGGTATTTTTCACCTAATTGTGCTCTGAAGTTAACTGCATTCTTCTTCAAGAGAGCAACACAATATTTAAGGTGAAGACAATACTGCAAAAGTATGACATTGTACTTATTGAAAAAAGAGACAATCATATGATGTGCTATTAAGATTAGGACATGCACACATAAACAAAAAGTAGCAAATTGAATGTAATGTGATAAATGGTATATCAAAATTGTTTTGTAATTTTCATATGATTCTTGCTAAAGTCTCGAAATATGTGAAAATTACTAATTTCAATTGTTCAATAAATTTGATATCATGGGTTACTCTCTCTATATATATTGGGGTAAACTATGTCACTAATGTTATTGACGTTACCAACGTAATTGACGTTACCAACGTTATTGACAACACTTTCCTTTGTTTAAATGGGATGCAGATGTGATGAAAATAGAACTCACCAAATACAAACATTTGCAAGATGTTTTTGTTGGAATTTTCGTATGTTATTTTATTAAATTATTACCACAGAACAGAAATGAATTGTATCTTATTGGATTCTTGTTATTATAAACTTGACATTCTTCATTACAACAAGTTTGTGTAATATAGATTTAATTCAACTAAAATTTTGAAAATCTAGTATTACTATAGTGTAAATAACTTGTGTGAATTACACAATAGTTTATTCTTTTACCATGGGTATAGTGCTAATGTCATGCATAAGGCTTGTTTAGTGTAAATTGCACAACGAAAAGTAGAATACTTTCACAAAAATGAAACAAAACAGCACAGATATGTACTTCTGTATGTGAATGTTATTACACGGTAAGCGCATTAGTGTATTTTGGAAAGTGTTTTAACCAACATTGACACTGAAAAATAGATAAATATAGATTTTCCTAATTTTTCTCTCAAAAATACAAACTTCAGTAAATGATTTTGGAACCTCACCCAATTTTTGGTTTTAAAATGCTATGACATTCAATCATGAATTTGAGACATGTTCATTATTTTTATGAATAATCATTAATTACCACACACATTTGTGAAGTCTGACCAATTTTGCCATTTTTGAGACCTAAATTTTGGACTTAAATCAGAAAAAATCATAGAGCAATCCATCCTTAATACAATTTTGTATGGATGTCTGTATTCAACATAAAATGCCATCTAGTTGTCAAATTCAGTGTGCAAAACGATACGATACTCTTAAAACACAAAATTCATGGCAAGTATCTGTGTTATGAGACAGATTCGT